GGATATTTCTGAGACAAACTGCTCCAATGAAACATCCAAAACACTGAAAATGTTTTATCAAATCTTAAGATTTTCACCAAGCCAATCACTCCAATTGCTAAAAAATTCTCTTAGTTATTTTTTTCCATGAACATTAATTTCTTTTATATATATATTTGAATGCCAGAATTTTAAAGGCCTGTACTCTTACAGTGTAAATGTCCGACTAAATGAACAAACAATACCAAATGAAGTGTCTTCTCTGTTACAAATCATTCTATATTCAAGAAATTACTGCAGAAGCTATTATTATAGCTGATATGTAATAACATTCTCATTCAAATCTGATATTATTGCTGTTTTGAATAGTTAGATCTACAGGATCTGTTATTTTGCAGTCTAAAATGATGTAACCTTCTGGTGACAATATTAAAATCATACTGAAAAAAAATAATTCTCAGGGTAGAATTTTTCCTATTAGGTTCCATACCTCATGATAGAGTAAAAGTTATCATTTCAGGTTGTCTGGAAAATCTGCTAAGTACTGGTACTTGTTTTGTCACTTTCCCCCCCAACATTGTTCAGTTTATATTTAAATGTACATGGGTGAAGTTCTTGAGTGGTAAGTAGAACAATATCCTTGAAGTTGCAAAGATTCAAATAAATAATGCCTGTTTGGTAGAGAAGGGAAATCGTGGCTTTGCTCTTACAATCAACTTTTAAAATCCCTTTGTTCTATTTTCTACTTTATTTTGCAATTCAATTGGTCCCCCCCTCCCCACGTAAAGAAAGGAATAGGTACTGCCTGTTTTGCCTTATCCACATAGTTTTGTACTCTCAAAAGACTATCCTTTCAAGCTACAAATATGGATGGATCCATTTATAAGGGAACTAAGTTTAGGCCTTGAAACAGCACAATCACCACAAAACAGGAGTGTCACAATACTAATACAGATCTTTCAGTATGGCTATGAAAATGTCTCTCTTCCCTCTATTACTGGTTTGTTAGAGCATACTGATGTATCACTGTTAAATTATTTTAGGTCTTTCAAAGAACGTAATATTATTTTTAAGCACAGTGTCAATACAACTTGTAATGTGGTTTTTTTCTTCATGTAGGCAGGCTTCAAGGGATATATCACAGCCCTTGATCACTACTGCTCTAGTACTGCACTGGTGGTTTGGTATGCCATTATGATCTAGAGGAAAACTAAAGAACAAATGCATTTTTAAAGCCCTAGCAAAGGACTATACAGCTAACAAAAACCTTAAAGGGACAGGATTATTATTATTAATACTGTTAAATTTATATTAACCCTGGCATTTAATACAAATAAAATTTTACAAAATTCTATGTAAAATTTAAATAGAGACATTTGTCTTGATTACACAACCACCAGAAATTTGGCATTATTTGATCAGTTTTGGTTGCATGGTGCCAAAATACACAGCTAAACATAAGACCTCAAGAATTTAACCACAAGTTCTAGAAAAATTCAGTTAACTCTGCATTATCAGTATTGAGGAATAATGTAAATACAATACACAAGTATAATTCAAAAGACTATTTCAGGACACAGTTTCGTATTTTTCTTTCAGATTTTAAAGTCTTGACTAGAGTTGCCAAATTAACTAATCTGGGTTTTGTTTCCCCTACTTTCCACTGAATTCCTCTAATAGAAACTCTAATGAATAATTAAGTGATTCAAAAGCTGGCAGCATGAAGGAAAAAGCAATGAGGGGCTTAATCCTCTCCAGAATAACCAAAATCTGGGTATAATCATAAAAGATGAGTAGCAGAGTACAATTTCATTTCATCACTTAATTTTACAAATTTTCTTATAAATTTAATACTTTACTCTGGGAGATTTCTTTGAAATACTAAGTTGGTATTACACATCTAATGATTTCCATTTTGATTACATAGTAACATCAAGGGAATTGATACCTAAATAAAAATTAAATTTACCTAAAGGTTGCAATTTGCCTGAAGATTTTATGCATAGAAAACAAACAAGAAGAAAATTTCCTATCTTCTATGTATAAACTGATAAGCATGCATATCTTTTGTCCAAAGTATTCCTCACAGTGAATTACAAAGTAAAAACCAAATCACATCAGTAAAGTTTTGCTTAATTTGATCACAAATATTTTAAATCAAGAAATTAGTTGAAAGTTTAAGATTTAAAAGCATCCCTTCCATCTGTCATTACTATAACAGAAGTTTGGGTTAGGAAATAGCAGAAATTTTTTTAAAAAAATGCAACCTTTAAAAAGTTTTTTTTACTATAGTCATTTAAAAATTCATTTTTAATTGTTTTGATATAATAATTTTATGGAAATGTAGCATACCATTTTTAAATAATTAAATAACTTAAAAACTAAACTGGCTCAATTTCAAGAACAAACATATTGCAATATCAATGATGTATTCCATTTTGCAAAATTACTTTCACTCTAAGAGCAAATAAATAAAAATGCAATTAATCTTAGGAGAACTTTAGGCATCAACATTTATCTCACTGACTCAACAAGAGAAATGGTAATTAGGTATAAAAAATACTAGTGACCTACATTAGTATTTACATATCTTACAAGGCTAAAAAAAAAAAAAAAAAAAAATCAAAAAAAAGGAGAAAAACCCCAACAAAAAAAAACCCAACTCATTTTACATACTGTCATGACCCCTTGATAATATCTTTTAAAAAATAAATGCTTGCTGAAACTTACCCTCCCCATTAGAAATACTTTTGGCAAACTCCCTACTCCTTTTCTTTTGACTTAAAAACCACTGACTTCCCCAACTTTTCTCTGCCTGTCTCAGCTTTCCTACCCCTTTCTTTTTCCTCCATTTCTAGAATCTCTTCTATTTCCTATCCCCTAAGGTTCAATCCTTTGACTTTATCTTACCTTTTAACAATTGCTCCCCTTAGAGTAGGGGTTCTTAACCTTTTTTGTGTGTGTCATAGACCCCTTCTCTGAACGATATTTTTAAATGCATAAAATAAAGTACTATTCTCTACATTCAGATTTGGTACTTAAAGATTACTAGTAACTCATTTTTATATGTTACTTTAGGGCTTACAAAGTACTTTTCAAACAATCACTTAAATTACTTAAAGTAATATTATATCCATTTTGCAGATGAATAAATGGCTCAGAAGGGAAGTAACCTGCCCAGTGTTACAAAGCTGCAAGTCTAAGAGCCTAGCCCTAGACTATAATTCAGGTCTTCTAAAATCCTTATTCTTTCCACCCATCATATCACAAAGAAAAAACAAACTAGAAAAGAAACATGTTATTATTTATTAGAGAAATTGATTTATTACCTTATTTAAGCCAAGGATATTCCATGAGCCCTTTCTAGCTTGATTTAGAAATCTATGATTTCTAAGTATTACAAAGAGATATAACAGCAAATTTAAAAGGAATAAGAAATAGATAAAATTTGATATAAAAAATACACAGGGACCAATGATTGTGGTTTTACATTCCAATTATCTTGGCTATTATTATGGCTCTTACTTTCAGATGCATATTAAACCATTTATGATCTAGGTCTAATGCAAAATCCTGGCACACTATTGTCAAGGAGATCCCAGTAAAGCACCGTAATCAAAAATATGGCAAACATGGTTTGTTTAAAAAAAAAAAAAAAAGATGCTAGAGAACATCCAGAAAGATTGTTTGCTTAGAAATTTACCAAGTAGTTAGAAAGAGGTTAAGAATGCATTAACCTTTCTCATGAAAGTGTCTGATGTGAACAGACACTCAAGTCTTCATGAAAATGGATAGTCTTCTATCCATTGGTAGGAGCACAATACCCATCCAAAAGATCCTTTTTTTGGTACAAGATTTAAGAATGAGAAAATTAAGTTGGCTTTCAAGGAACCAATTAAGAAATCCAAACGTGGATTATACATGTGCTACTAAAAGGAAAAAAAAAAAAAGAAAATAAGATAACTTGGGATTTCTGGCTAACAGTTTGAAGAATCACTAGTTTATTATTATGGGCCCTTAAAGGTTACTTTAATTTTTCACTCAAAACTCTTTCTGCTACCAATTACTGAATTAATGCTCTGATCTAGAGCTTTACCTTTAAAGTGTAGACTAATCTAACTTTACTTAATGAGTCATCAGAACAAGGGTACATTGAGAAAATATAGCCAGATAATGAAAAAGCATCTGAAGCATTAAGTTTTCTTTTACCTAAAAGTCATGGTGCAACACCATTGAGAATAGATACAGTAATCTGACATTTGGGTTTCATTTAAAGATCAACAATTCACTCAAAGGTTATATGAAGAGATGACATTGCGATCAATTTGATAAGTGGTTAACAAAAATTTATTTCTATACCAGATAGCTTTGATATTTAGCAAACTTTTGTCTAGAATGATTCCAGCATAATTCACAAGTTTCTCAAAAACTAAAGGAACTGGAAGAAATGTCTGTTTCTTATCCTGTAGGAGGATGTGTGCATATATGGGGAAGGAAAAAAGACAGATTCTTCCTGTTTTTCCACCTCCTGGTGCTTACCAAGACATCTACTCTCCAGTGACATGCATAATAAAAAAAAAATTTTTAAGTGGCTATGCCACTCTTTTTAGAAAGTGAAGGAAGCATAAGACAACTATTAAACTTGTTATTAAATATTTCAATAAAATGAATAAAATAACCCCCAAATACATACATACAACTTCTCCCTTAAAGTCACTACCATTTCTATGCTTGAGGAAGTGAGGGGAAGAAGTCAAAACTATGTTAAATAATGTTCAAAGAAGAATTATCTTTCAAAATCAAGAACACTTACCACGTATTGATTTGGTCCCCCTCCCCACCTTTTTTTTAATGGTGAGTCAGTCAGCAGCTAACTTTTAAAAGGTTAAAAAGAAAAAGGAAGGCTGATAGTCTAAGGTCAAGGCTCCTTTAAGAGTATGTTTCATAAATCAGAAGTTGAAACATAATAAACCTCTTTTTACAGAAATGATAAAGGGCTGAGAAGATCACAAAATACTTACAAGAATGCTTGTTCAATTGAGGCCAACAAGTTGTTATCACATAGTACCAGTACAGCCTATGTTAACTGTTATAGCCTAGGAAAAAATAGAAAAGATTAAAAAAAAAAGCTTAATAGAAAATGGATCATTTAAAATCTTTTTTTTTATGCTCCAGTGTGATCCATATTCTTAAAGGTGTAACACAACTCTTTCTATTTTCTAGTCCTCATACATCACAGTACAATTAGCAAAAATACTAATTTTCTTTTATTACTCCAAATCACTTGTATTAAAAGTCTGAAAAAGAGTCCATATCATCTGTAAAACTAAAAGCAAATTACAAAGATATCTAAAATTTACATACTAAGGTGGAAGCTTGGCAGGAACTAGAAATTTGTCTAATAATTTGGAGAACTACAAAAAAAGGGAAAGATCTAGGCTTGAAGATAACAACATGGCAGACGTTCAGTTAACATTTTGTGTTATATCAAATAAACATGAATTAGATTATATGCTGAACACATATATAAAACATTCTGTTAAAAGATACTCATGGTCAACATATCTGAAATCCGCAAATATCTAAAAATCTACACATTATGTGGTCCTAAAGTTAAGACCTATAGCACTAGATAAAATTAAGATTTAGCTTTCAATACATGATTAAGATATTTGAGATATCGTAGATATATGAGGCAGCAACAAGAAAAAAAAATTTAAAGAACTTATAAATTAGCAAGTCAATGAGGACAAAGTTATAGTTTGATTCCTGCACAGTTCAGTCAGTTTTATTCTTTTTTAGTGCTAGACTTCTCAATATTCCTCATAAACAGCTATCCTGCAAACATATACAACAGGACAGAAAGTAGAGGCATCAGAGATTTGTTCACATCCCAAGTAGGTTATTTCATTGGGGGGGGGGGGGAGCTCTCAGTTTCCTTATCTGCAAAATGAGGGTATCAGACTAGATGATGTTTAAGGTCCCTTTTAACTCTATATCATATAATGCTGCCTTATAGCTCTTTTATAAAACAGCAATACACTGATGTAAAAATATTTTATTTTTAAAGAAAAACACCAAATAAAATGGAGAAAGTTTGGTGTTTCAAAATGTGAAGCACCTAAATAACTGATTCCACCCCCACCCCCACATTTTCACTACACTGTTTGGCACTGTCTAGGCATGGGCAAAATATACTAAAATGTCCCAAGTAACAAGAATGGCAGAGAATTTGGCCCAAGACATATTCCTGCAGGGGAAAAAAAATTATTAAAAACAATCACAACGCTTCTTCTTCAAAGTATATAAAATGACCTGCAAAATGTCAGAATTTTTATAAGTGGCTTATGGTAATGGTAGAGTACATTTAAATCTGTTTAGGCATAAAAAAAAAAGAGCTAAAGAAAGACCAAGAGAGAAGTGATTGACCTTTATTATATAGAAAAATCTTTCTTTTTAACTGGAGTAAATATGGAAACAATGCAGTTTTAAAGAATAAAAAAAAAGGACTGAATTTTATGGTAAAGATCATTAGATTTGATGCTAGAAGTAACCTCAGAGACTATCTAGTTTAATTCCCTCATTCTACAGATAAGGATAATAAAGAAAATACACATACAGCATCTTTGAATTTCCTTTAATATTTTTATTTTCCTGTTCTAGTTTTAAGGCAAGTTTTATGTGTACAAATGCAATATAATAGCCTCAAGCATTTGTGGCCAAACTTCTTATTCTTACAACTCTAGAAATACTGAGTGTATCAGAAAATATTTTTTGTATTTTTCCAAGGAACTTTCATTTGCCTTCATCTTGAAAATAATTAATGTCATATTAATGAAGAACATGAAATCACTGCAATTTTTTTGAAAAATATGCCACTTTAAATACCATGATTTTAAATTGTGTCATAAAGGAGTTGTGTAAGTACTACAAAATTTTATTTGTAATTTGTCCACAATCATTTTTTACCTTACATAAGGAATATGTAAAAGTCCCACACTTTTCAGAAACTGCATTCAATTTACTATAATAGAAATTTCTATGATTTAGTGGGGAAAATATTATGAAACTATTTGAGATATAAATGATTATTATATAAATCCCAGGTGCTATCAAATTATTAACTAATCAAGAAAGATGAAATTTTTACACCAGAAATTTAGAGAAAAGTTCTATTTAGTTATTAAAATTTAACTTGTGCTAATCCTTCAACAAACCAGTGATTACACTAGAGTGGATACTCTTTTACAAGGGCAGATTTTAAATGACTCAGACTTTTTCACACTACAATTCTTACATCTTTAGGTAAATAACTTTGTCAGATTCTAACTATTGTGCTGAAAACTTTTTTGCATTAGAAAAATTTTACCATCAATGTCAGGTATTACTAGAAAAGGAGGTTGGCTGTTTATGTTGTAATGAAGAAAAAGAGAAAGTCCTAATTTAAGTGTTGTACTTTATAGGTTGTATCAATATTGAGACAAAAAGCAGGAGTTCAAAAAATCAACTATACAGGTTTCTACTTGTAAACATATTAACTTATTCTTTTCCATTTGGCTTAACATGCTTAGTTTTCTTTAGCTGTCTTGCTTCTATGATGCCAGTACACATGCTGGCAAGTATACAAATATTGGCCACTGCTTCTGCAGTTAAGGAGATGGTAGATGAAATCAGGGAAGATGTATCAGAATTCAAAGTAAGATGCAAAGTTGGCCACTATGGCACCCAGGCTAAAAGTAGAAAAGGTTCCTATGTGATGCTATTCCCCTCTTCTCTTCTGACAGCTGGAACCTAAATTTGGGTATAAACATATATTAAATATTTTTTCTCTAAGAATTTCTTCCTAACATCAATACTTATTTCTGCTAGGTAGTTCTGAAAAGGCATAAAGAAAATTAAATGTCACACAACAAATTACACAAAGCAACTAAAGTCTTCCTGCCTTTTGTATTTAAGTGGGAAAATACTTTTACACAGAGATAGTCTGTTATATATGGTAATGAATAAGCTACCAATAGTACCACCAGTGTATAATAGTATTTTTCTTGTGAAGAATAATTTCCCCTAAGTTAGTATCATCTGTACATGCTTGTGGGTATTTGATTCCCTCTCAGGTTCTCAGCAGCTAATAGGTAGACAGCCCTCTATACCATCACTCCTGCACACTAATGTTTTTAATGTTTAGCAGTTGACAAAAAGCAGATTCCCCAGAATTTGTTCCCAGCTTCAAGAGGGCAGAAACAAAGACTAGGATGATGTGCCCATCAGCAGCTGCTTAAGCAGTGGGCTGGGGTACACTGCTATGAGCAAAGCATCTGCTCATTGAGGGGGGAAAATACGATTATATTTTTCTGAGTTTTCATTTCCTTTTAATGACATAACATGACCTTGAATTGCCAAATTTATACCCAATTACTAATTCAACTACCTAAACTCCTCCAAATTTAGCTTACAGAAGTATGAGATGAGGAACTGATGTGAACTATAATGGACAGTTTACCAAATCTTTCTGTATGAACTTAAACAAGTTCAGGTATCTCATCTATATTCACCTATAAAATATGAGACTCCCATACAAAAAGAAAAAACAGCAGGCTCCTGGCACTACAACTTCAAACTCTGATACAGAAAGAAAAAACAAACTTTGGCCTGCTCTTTCTTTTGAAAAACACACAGCTGTTTTTAAAATAAGCTTCAAAATGACACTTCTACTTTTTAATAAGATAAAAACTTAATAGATATTTATTGATATATAAGTATGAGAATTAAAGTATTACCCACATCGTTTAATAGCTACAATTGTTGCTCGTTCCGAAAGGTTACACGGTATTAGAAGAAAAATGTGCAACATTAAATTTTATTCAATCATTTACATAATTTAAAGTTGTTCTTAAGAGAATATTAAATATAATTTTGGCCAGAACTAAGCAATTTCTCTACCCCATCATTAAAAAGCAAATAATATTCAAGTTCATTACAAAAGTAATATGTGCAAAGAACATTAGAAGATAACAGTCTAACTCTGACCATGTCCCCAAGAAATTACACTCCTTATGTTTATTTTCACAGGAATCATGTATCAAAATACAAACATCCTAAAATCACATACACACAAAAAACACCAAACTAAAACAAAACTCTAGTCACCTAAAGTAAAGAAAAAATTCTACAGTAAACATCTAAATATGATTTTTAAAAATTTCTAAAAATATATTTCAAAACACTAATGCATTACCCAAACTTTAACTAGTGGATTAATCAGATGTCTCAGCAACCACATTATGAAACATGCTGTTTCTTCTCCAAACGATGATCTAGTCACAAAAAAAGCAAAACCAACTCCCAGTAATGTACACATGAATAACATATCAGAGCAGTAAACATTTTAGCTAAGCCTTGATTGTGGAAGAAATATTATTTTATAAGCACCTAAAATATTTCCAGCTTATTTTACACGAATTTTTTCTAAAAAAACAAAACCAAAATTTTCTCAAAGTATCACTTAATAATACTAATGCTTTAGGTGTTAAATTTTTAGATATTTTTCCTTTAAAAAGGATACATTATAAATATAATTTTAAAATGTTTGCCATTGAGATAAAAACAAAAACATGAGGCTAAGTGATAAAAAATAATTTAATAAATTTGCCACCAAAAGCTCCCCTGGGGGGAAAAATTACCGTTAACACTTTGAAGTTTTACAATAGATGAAACTATCTAAAATTAAAGTAACTCTGCTAATACACTACATACATAGTATTATTCATCATATGATTTATTTGTATTTCTACTTTGTTACTGAAATGCTCAGGAAAAGCAATAGTTCTGAAAATTAAAAAAATTCTAATAAAATGCAAGCATTTTGACAGGACAACAGCACTTTACAACCAGTTATGATTTTCTCTGCAAAAGCCTATATATGTTGAGAATTTTGAAAACATACGGAATACAAATGATGGAAAAAAAGTAAAGATAAATATTAGCATGAAAACAAAAATGCCACCAAAAACATTGACAAATTGCTAAATAAACTGGAAAGAAGCTTATCTAGTCAAGCAATTTCTAAACTAAAACAGCCACGATTTTATAAAATATCACCTCACCCCTTTTAAAGGGAGAAGTATATTATAAACAGCTACACTCTTCTAATGGCATTTAGTATCTATCTCCTAAGTGAGAGGTATTGTCTATTTAGTTTAAATTTTTCAGTCAGGCAAAATTGTCCACAACTAAAAAGAAAAAGAAAATACACCTGTACAGTTTTTATAGATCTAGATAAATGACTAAACTTAAGTTACTAAAATGTTAGTGACATCAGTGGTTTAAATCTGGAAAAGGCAATTCTATGGAGTAGCCCTCGAAGAACATATAGTCACTTAAATAGCAATGAACACAATTTATTTATTTACAAACACTGGGCAAAAGTGAACATTTCCTCTAATTGTTACATTTGATACAGCAGTCACTCAGAGGTTCTAAAAATTTTAAATTTAAAAGTGATGTATTAAATCTGGTTGATTCTAAATATTTAGATAACTATATAAAATTTCACCTTTCTTTTAGATGCTTTTAACTGATAAAATTGACAATATTTATCTGCCTTAAGTTAATCATTTGGGAAAATAAATAAAAAATACAATCAGCAAGTTACACCTATACATTTCTAGCAAATAAAAAAAAATCTAAGCATGGGATGCTAATGCTTAATTATGTTTTATAATTGCATGGGGGAAGGTGAGGAGAAAGAGAAAAATTACTAATCCTTATCCTAACTGTACTCTAATCAAAGACACAACATATTTATTTTAATAGTCAAACATTTTGTATAGCCCATGTGTTTACTACTACAAGTTTAAATTAAAAAAAAATTGTGATTTAGTCATAAAAGTACCTTTACAATATGTTTATAATGATTTCATTCACTCCAAAGGTTAAAAGATTGATTTTCCTCGACTTAAGAGACTAATATATTGGAATAGAGATTAACACTTAACGGGAAAAAAAACACAAAAACCTTATGAACACTAAAAATCAAACTTATATTTTTTGTTCTGTTTAAAAATGTCAAACATAAGTTTTGTAAGAACAAATTATACTTCAGTTATCTTAAAATTCAAATTATACCATTTATAAAAAATTGATATAAAGAACCTTCTGGTAAGGAATATAAAAAAAAATTTAAGATGACATTATTTGAAAATGTTACTACTTTTGATAATATTTTAACTGTACTGTTTAGTATGTTTAAATTAAGAGACTAAAAGTTCCTATTTTGAAAACCCTTGTCATTAGCTTAAATTTCCAAATGTCCCAGACCAAAATGAAAAGATTCCAGAAAAATATAAATTGTTATTTAAAAGTTCATTATTAAATCATTTGCCACAAAATTAAAGGCATTAAAAGGCATGCTATTCTAAGATTTAGCACATAAAATTAGCATTTGTTACAATTTGTGATTTGAGCAATTTAAACATTTTGCTCCATGTAAGACTATTGTTGCTTAAATGAAAGTGAGGTTTTCAGTTTCAACCAAACTGGCATTCTTGTCTAGACTGACTTAATATTAATTTCATACTCATTTCTTTTCTTTTAACATTATTCTGTTAATTACACCAATGAATATTTCTTGAAAATTAATTTTGCAAGCTATCTAGAACCCACTTTTCAAAACTATCCAAATGTTAATTCCTTTCAACAAAAATCTACTGTAAACCACAAAATGACTTATTTACAAAAGAATAAATCCAAACAAACGAAAAACCACTTTAATTACGCATACTTCCCCCTTCTCACTCCCATTAAAATTTCAGTTGGAGAAACTATCCATAAGAGAATCACTTTGTGGTAAATTTCTTGTAATTCCAAAAACTGCTTACAAACTCAGTTTTCTTACACATAACTTGACTCCTCACAGAGTTTTTTTTAATGGAGAGGCTGATTTAAAATTTTCTTCACAAATGAAAAGTTAGTCTGCTTAATTTTACTAAAATCCTAAACTACATCAACAATTCAATCATATATCAAAAGCGAAACACAAAAATTTGAGCTCTTAAATATGAAACCACAGAAGTAATAAATTCATTAATCTACCTTAATCTCCCATCTCTTTTCACGTAGAACACAGGGGTTTTCAATCACAGAAGTTAAGTTGTTCTCCAGAATCAGTTCTCTATAGAAAGGTCAAAACCTGCAATAAAAATGTCATGTATTATAGCTCGAAGACACTCAACAGATTTCCGACACCCACAGTTCTGTAGCTGATCCTTAAACATAGATGTAAGGTCATCAAAATGACCCTCACCTTGCTTATGTTCAGGGGAAGTCCTAATGTGAAAAATACTGCTCTTTTTAAAGACTGGCTGATTAGAAACACCTGTGATATGCTTCTTTATCATCAGAAGCCTCTTCAAATCAGATTAATGTTTCTGCTTTCATTTCTTTCTACAACATTCATTTCAGAAAGTAGGAAGAGTGGGGAAAGATAGGAGGAATCTGTAATAACTATTGTATTGCTAATTAGGTAGGGTACTTCCACACCTCTAAAAGAGTTGTGATTTTGGATAATTGGAATTACTACCCAAGACTTGTTACTCTTGAAAATGTTATTTTACATTTTTAAAAAAGTTTCATAATTTTAGAGTGGCTAACTACTCTTCCTAAAATACACCGCACCTTAAATTGCCAAAAAGATGGTGGTGTATTTGGGACAAATTGTTTAACCAACCTTATCACCAAATTATTAACTTTTTAAATAATGATACAAATATAAATGAATTTATCCAAAGAAGCATTTATTATGTAATCTACTATAATAGTCTTTAATAACCAATTTTGAAATAAAGTTTAGATTACAGAAAACATGAAGGGAAGACCATAGTATGAGTCCATTCAATCAAAACTTATGCAAAAAAGATACTCTTACTTACAAGCAAGAAACAGATCTGAAACGATTATTTGGCCAAATCATTTTGGTTGTCTCATGCTAAGAAAGATGTGACCAAATGTACACTTCCCATTTAACATTTATTGTTTAGCTTTCTGATGTTCCAATGATAACAGATTTTAAATGCTATTTTTTATATCATCAAAGAATGATGGCAAATATTTAACTAAAGTGAACTTTATTACTTGAAATTTTCCATTTTCTCTTAAAAAATTTCAAACCATCTTTATTTCTCAAAATTTTTTAAACCTTCCTTCAAATGCAACACTTGTCCAAAAGCAAATCTAAAAGTATTCCTTCAACATGCAAAATCCTCCAAAGACCAACTAAAATATTTCTACCTATTTAACTTTTATCCATATGTATGTATACACTTCAATACATTTTCTTAAGTGAGTTTAAAATTATATAAGGGATGCTATTTTAAAGCAGAATCCAAGAAAAAATGTTAGATCGTTAAATTAAACAATATTATATTGACAAGGGTAATGAAAGTAAATTAAGCACATTATAAACCACATATTAATGTCATATGTATAGGGTAAGGAGAAAAGGTGGAGAAGGAATTCTAAAACATAAGGAATCAAATTTCAAATGTGGTACAAGAATATTGTGTAATTTCACATTCTGTTAAGAAATCATACATTATTTTGTTAAGAAAACATTCTTAAATAACTTCTCATTGTTAAGAAAATACTTTCACAAATACAAGTACATAGTTAAAGTTTTCTGTTTAATTTTTATTTCTACTGGAAAGACTTTATTTCTGGATGATATTTTGGGATTTGCTTCTGAACAAATGCAGCAGTAATAGGGGAAATTAAAAATTTGAGCAACTTTCTTTCTGATAGCACAAATAAATATTTTCTCTGTTTCTTAGTACATTAAACATCTTGAAGCGTTACGAAAAATATTAGAATAGAATTCAGACCTTTTTTACTAGACATATTTGAAGCCTGTAAATTCAAATAACTGATTTGTTTCAAAAGGTTGATGTTATTTTAGATATTAAAGCAACTTAATGAGGGTCATATCAATTTCCCTCATTATTAGGAAACATGGTGATTGAAAAATAAAAATCCTCAGAGATAAATACAATAAATCAGACTGATACGAATGTGCATGAATATGATTAATATTGATGACCTAGCATTACTGTGCTACTTCTTTAAAATAAAAACTAATTATAAATGGACTTAATAAACTACAATTAAATAGAAATATTGCTTGAAAATTCAAAATTCAAATACTTAGTACCTGAATAAAAGCATAGGTTTGCTTTGGAACTCCTTTAGTCCTAAAAGATTGGGGTAGGGGAGGAATGTCAGGGGAGGCATTTATTGAAGAAATAAAATAAAAATCTATACCATAATTACTTCTAAAAACCACAGATCCATCAAATCTCTAATAAGACATGGTTATCTAACATCCTTCTTCCAGTAAAATCAGACAAAGTCATATTATTCTTTCTAGAAAGGGTTAAACAAATCAATACATGTGTGGATTTAAGCTCCATTAAACAAAGACAGAAGTCTTGACACAAGGGCCAATTTCAAGTAACACAACTTAAAACAGTTGGACAAATAAAGTGACAAAATTTTGTTAACTCATGTTCCTTAATTTAAAAAAAAGTAAAGAAAAAAAGCAAATTGGCGATTTAATTTGGATTTGCTTATAAACTACTGAATGCAAAAATAAAGAAAGTTGACACTAGATCTTTTATCACATTCTTCCTTTCGGTAAATATAATTATTCTACAATAACTTCTTTCTGTAGGTTACATTTTATTATGACTGAAGTCACTACAATAGAAAACTCTAAACAAAAGGCTTCACAACTCCCTAAAAGGAGGCAGTTAAAAATATAACAAAAGGAAAAAGTTTGAAAACGAAGTGTTTTTGGTTCTTCCACTGGTTGTGGTATTGATTATTTAAAAAATCAATTACTAAGGTGACTGGAAAAATATGCAATGTTGTACTACAGAAGTCTACATACATAAAATGTTAGTATCCTAGCAAAAGAAAAGAATTACATTTTCTTCCAATGAAAAATTAATTTCATTTTAGATCTTGCATAACTTTGGGGTTTTTTTTCTTATGGGGGAGGGGTGAATTTTTTGTATGCCCACTGCTTAGCACAGTACCTGGCAAATAGTAGGCACTTAATCAATGCATGTTGCTTGACTGAATGGTTAAACTAAAAATACACATTTATAAATAAAAATATTTTAATAATTATACTTATATATATTCTGGTAACCCACACGATACTAGCCAAGTACCCTAATAACTTACTACAAGTAAACAGGACACTAAATAAAAAGTAAAACCACTCTATTATCACAGTATATAATAACCACTATTATTGGCAGAGTACTAGTGTTCACGTATACTAATAAATAAAATACTGTTCTGTATAGAAATAAAGGCGTATAAGTACATATTTCTAATTTACACCTGTTGGAATATATGTCTACTTATCACAAAAACCAAGTAAAGTTTCACTGTTACTAGAAATCACATTAAAGAAGTCATTAAAATCTGGTTATTTTTATTATCATTATCAATTAACACCCATTCATATGTAGAGTTCAAAATGATGTATTTGATGCATCTAGAATTCATGAAATTATCACCTTTTTCACATAAAGAATTTCTAAACACAAAATAAATTTAAAATAATGGCACTTTATATATTTAATACTTAAATTTGACCAGTATTATTAGATCCAACAATTTCCTACCTTCTGAAAACCCTAACAGCTTTAAAGAAAATGAAAAGTAAAAAAACAAAATTATGACCCACATCCAATTCTAGTAAGTGATAATTTAATACTTTCATTCCCTAAAAATTTTTTGAAGGTCATCCCTCTCCTTTAATGATATATCCTTGAAACTCTCCAACTTAGAAATGAAAAACATACAAGATTCTGTTTATAAGCAATGCTATTAGTCTGATCACAAGATAGTTTCAATTTATCAATATGGGTGTCATAAAAAAGTATGTCTCTTTAAAATATTTTATTTAAAAATTACTTGAATGTTTCTAAGAACTTATCCTTTACCTAATGTGAGAATTTAAGAACAAAACGAAAATGTCACACTATATGAATTAAAATATGAAGAAAATCTACCTAGGAAATACAAAAAAATTATCTGTACAGCATCTACAGTCACCTGGTTTATCAGCGCTTACTACTTTTCTTTGAAAACCACACCCACCTTTCTTTTATCCTGCCCAACTGAAATGAGAATGACAATTTCAGAAATAAATCGGAAAACAATCTACTTCTAATAGTATTTAAACAAACACAAGTTACTAAAAAATAAAATTACAGAAGGGACAGGGCCATTTCTTGGTAGTAAATTCACCAAAAATATGAAATAAGATGTACACATATGCCTAATGTTTACCTATTTTGTGATCTAAAGTATGAAGCAGCACAAATTTATTGAAAATTAATGGCAGACTGACCAAACCTTGTGTTTAATGATATTTTTTATAAAATATCTTTACGAAAGTTTTGTTTCCCACTCAGGAAAACCAGTAGGAAAAGCTTTTCAGTTTAAAATTAGGTTAAAATACATGTGTAAATATATATGTGAATATATATGAAAAAATTTGTGTATTCAACTCACACAAATAGAATGTTTTTCTCTCAAAAGAAAAAAAGACCTAAATAAAAATAAAAGTAAATAAAGTCTAAATTTAACAGGTAATTTTAAAAAATGCCTATTTCCTTCATTAACCAATGAAAACTAAGGTTTCAAAATAATAGTCTTAAATGTGTTGCCTTAGATCAATATTTTGTAAAGTCAGTCTCTACTGTTTTAAAATCACAAACTTTAGATAACTGGAAAATCTTTTTAAAAACGATTTTAAACTTAATCACTATTTTTCGCTGGTCACCTTCCATGAATTAGTTATTTCCAAGTTACAGGAGTCCTAAGTAAAATTTACAGGTTCTCAACATTAATTAGCCCAGGGACCAGGGGAAATCGAAAATACCACCATCCAGTTCAACCTTCAAACTCCCGAACCGCTTCTTGCCAGCCAATCAGGGGGGCAAGAGACAGATCTACCCTCCAGTCCCGTGTTTTTTGGGTCCAATACTACACAAAATTTGAAAATCATCAGGCCACTTTTCCCCTACATTTCTTCTTTTGAAAAGGCCAATTAGCAAAGCCGATCCAGTCCATCCCGGCGGGCCCCCCCTTCCCCCCCCCCCCCCCCCCCCCCCCATC